GGGGGGGGGGTTGAATCCCCCCTTACACATGCCCTTGGTTTACAGTGATCACGGCATATTATGTACGCAAGTGGCTCCTGCTAAAATCAATTAAACGGCTAATAGGAAAATTCGACGAATATTTTGATAGTTATCGTAGTTCCGGGAATTCGTATTTCGTCGTGAATAGGCGATAACGGATTACTCACACTAATGTTCGTTTACATCTCACACATTGACAAGGCAAAATAGTCAATGTAATATTAAATGCCTAAACACTACTCCTTAAAACATGCCATGCTCCAGCCCCCTTAATAATAATATTATGTTGCATTCCCATCTTAACCACATTTTTGATATTATTCCCCAAATTGCTAAAAATGGTTTATAAGTAGGTAGGTAATTAAAACATTATTGTATTTCAATTTTTTTGGAATCAAATCCTCTAAATGTGTTAAGCCAAAGAAATATATGAACACGTAATAATTTATAACAAATTAATATTATGACCTAAGTCATAGTTATAATGGTTTAAAATTTTTTTTAAAATAAAATGATTAGTATTTTACTATCATAATAATATAATTATAGTTAGACAACAATGGGCGCTAAAGACCCTTTTGATTCCCCCCATAGTTACACCAATGTTAAAAACTGAGACTTTAGTCTGTTAAGAATATATCAAAAAGATTAAGAAATAAACAAACGAAAGCATAATTAGAATGTTATCAGAGATCAGTTGAAGGATAGAGAAGTTATTAGTATCAAAAGATTCAAATAAATCAAAGAACTTAAAATATTATCAATAAAATAAATAGGGTACAGCACTCACAGTCAATTGAATTCAGTGATCGTTGAAAAATGTATAAACACATATTGGCTATTAAGAATTATAAAACTTAATATTAGGTAAATGAAAAAAATTCAAAAGGGCCCAGACTGGTATAAGTATTTAATAAATAAAAATGAATTGAATATAAGCTTAGAATGGAGACAGAATTCTGTATTAAATATACAAACTAAATATAAATAAAATATAATAAGACTACCGAATTTAAGTAGAAAGGTTGAAGATAAATATGTTCGTATAAATTAAAAAAACAAAAAACAAAATGAGAAAGGGCTTTAGAGTACTCATAGGAAAATGCATTAGGAAGCAAAAAGTTAACATACAAGAATTGAATAATGGACCTTATAATAGTATCCAAAAGACATTAAATAAATTATTAGTTTAACAATGTAATTTATTAACAACACAATATAATAAGAAAATAACTAGATATTTTTTGATATAAATACAAAATTACTTTTTCACACATCCCTGACACGAAAAATTTGTTTTAGTTTTATCCAATTATTTACAATATGTTTTCGATTACCCCATACATAGTTTGACATATATTTGTACCAAAACCTGCATAAAAACAATATGATTAATAATTATCAAGTAAAAATAGACATGAGAATATGAGATACAAAATAGATAAATTTTTTTAGCAACAATAACCTATTAAGTATTTTTAATACTATATGTTATTTTTTATTTTTAAAAAAGTTTGGTGAATAAAAGTCCAGTTTTAAATTTTGAATAAAGCAAAGAATGGATTATTTCTCAATGATGTTTTTTTATTTATTTTAGTAGCACTTTTTGATTTACAAAAAAATATTCTGGTCATAACCTATAATGGAAGTTTCTGGCAGAAAAATTGAATTAGTTGCACAAAATTTAATATCATTATTAAAATAATTGTTTGAGTATTATAGACTGTATTTACTCAGAACCTTTTTTTTATCATATACATTGATTTATTATTGAACTCAAGTTTAATATCATACATTATATTGACCTACTTAATGAGCAGGGTTCGGGACTTATAGCATTTGCATATCCTTTATAGGTGATGTAAAACATAGCAGAGTGATCTACAAATTTGTTTTGTAGTACAGAGAATTAAAATATGAAATTTTATTTTGCATATTTTTTGCTTATTCGAAGATTTTTAATGATTGATGGTTAATATAATTGTTCAAAATGTATTATTTAAAATGTTTAATGATTAATTGCGAAAATTTGTTTTGTATACTCCGTACCACGAGAGAACGCATACGGCTGGCGCATCCGAATGATTGCGCTCCGTCGTACCGAGGCCAAATTTCCCTTACCATACCACCAGAGAATGCATACGGCAATCAGCTCATGAGCGAAAACGACGAGTTTTGGTCGGCCGCCGTATGCGTTCTCTCGTGGTACGGAGTATAGTAATACTATTTGTGTAGCTATCTGTCACAAAAATGTAGCACGTGCACTTGATTTATAAATACCTACTCAACAAATCGAAAACCATGTAGTTGGTTAATTGAAAAACGTCTGATATGCGTACTTATCTACAGGCTACATTTGTATCGCTTGGCAATACGCACGGCAATATTTTCCATAGTTGCAAACAGTTTATTTAGTTAAGCGTGAGAACAAAGGCACTAATTATATTTAAATAAAAAAATTTTTTTTATATTTATATGATATAAATATAAAAAAAATTAATATATTATATATACCAAATTTATTAATATTATAAATTATATCAAATAAAACTTTTTTGTTAATGATTTTTAATTTTTTTTTTAAATTTTTTAGTGCATATTTTTAAGTTCATTGGGTCATATATAAGCGCATATTTTAATGCTTTTTAGTGCTATAAGTCCCGAACCCTGTTAATGAGGTATTTTCGGCTCCTATTAACTGTATAGCAAACTATAAATAAAATGTAATTCATTCATATAATTAATAATTAATAAATAAATATAATTAATATGTAATTCATATTGTACATATTATTATAAATTAGATAGAATKTACCTATAAATGTGATAAAGTATGTAGACTTGGAAATTTAAATTTGTTTCTCTAAAAAGAGAAAACAAGGAATAACAAACAATATTCCTGTTAATACTTTCAATATGATAACCTCCAAGAGGGCTTATTTGATTATTATTTTATTATATCTTACACCATTTATAACCAATGAAGTATAAAATTAGTTGTTTTCAGTTAATTGTTTGTATTACATAATTTATCAACTGTCAAAACGAAAATATGGAACATGTGGAATGAATAGACAATGACTATTTGATAGCTTTAAAATATTGTATTTTAGATGAGTATTTATGAGAGATAGATGGGATCAGTGATCACACTATAAACATGCTAAAAATAAATTATATAAGATAGTCAATATTTTACAAGGGTATATGCTAAAGGGATTTTTTTAATATAGAGTATAAAATTGATATTTGAGGTACAATACGATTGATTTACTACACTCACATTCCAAATAATGTTCCTCCTAAGTGAGCTGCATGGTCGAACACTTGCCACTTCAGAAGCAATCCTGTTAGGTCTATGGATATTATACCAAATAAGGCCTGAAATCATATTGAAATATGAATGATATATTAAAATTTGGTAAGATAAATGATTTTAGAAATCAAGATTAGTCAAAATATGCATATTTAAAATTGATTACTTGAATCAATAATTTTTTTTATGAAATAAGTAATATGCTACATAATATTTTGTGACAAATTCATTGTTAGGAATTGTTTTTAATATAGTAAATAAAAAATCAATCGAAAATAATTTTTGATGCTAAATAATGAAAATCTAATCAGTAGTTTTAATTTTAGATTATTTTAGAAACCTAGAAGGGATCACTGAACTAAACATAGTATTTAATTTAGTGATGCGGATGATGAATTTTTCAGATAATAATTCAAATCTATAAAAAAATAACTTTTATAACTAAAATAAATATTGGACAAATGTAATTAAATATGACTTACATTGATTGCTTCAAATTGTATATTTGGTAAGAATATTATACCCAATTTTTGATCAGGGTTCGATAGTGAAAAGTATCCAACAACCGATAATATAGCACCAGACTAAAAATACAATAAAACTATTAAAGCTATTTTCATTTTTCGTGAGTACATATTTGGTATGAAATTAAGGTTATACTTACAGCTCCTAAGCTATTTCCTGGAAATTTAAAGGTTCGTCTAAAAATAATACTAGCCAATGATGAAACAACACAACCACTTATATACATTGCAGTGAATTCTTCCGGTCCCATTTCACCCCATGGTTGGATCACACCTTGATTACAAAATGTGATGTTTACAATAAATAAGATATTTAATATTTAACATTTACCTCGGCAAAATGAATGAAGAGCATACATATTAAAACAGAAATGTACTGGAGAGCTGTGGCTAAAAGCACTTAGAAGAAGAGATGACACTGGAATTTTCCCTAAAATGAGTTTTGATTATTTAAAATTAACCATAGACTAATAGTTAAATATCTACTAATTTATATTTACTCATCAATAAGCTTAAATCATGTTTTAAATTAAATAATAGTTAAACATTGAATAAACTTACTAGCAAGTGCATCAGTCATAAAATATTTGATCATGATATGTTGCCATTGCGGTACTTGCCACGCAAAAAAAACAATGGCATTTAATAGAAGTATGGTACCAAATACTTTCTCTGATGGTTGTAATTTATTGAAATTATTTTTTAACTTGGAAAAAAGATCCTAGAAACAAAATTCTATAATAAACTCAACATCACCAAATCACAAGCACATATACAGAAGGGGTCTATATTATACTCAATGCTCATTTTATATTTGGTTACAAAAATAAATGATTATTATTCATATTATTATAATATTAACATATATTATATCAAAAATAAATGTAACACGACTAATAATTTGACTTAATATAACTGATATATATAATATTTTGATATAAAACAAATTTGAACTATAAATCATAAAACTACCTATCAGCAAATAAAAATTATTATCTTTGGTTTGAGAAATTCTAAATTTTATAACATATTCTATTAATTTAACTCTTTCTGTTTTAATTTGATCATAGAAAATTAGTTTAAATAAATAGTAATAATTTTCACCTCATTTTTCTTGATGATAGAATTTCTGTAAAATTCAAAAACATTGACTCGCTTAACACGAACACGAAATCGCTCATATTGAATAACTGATGCAAACACTATTGACCAAGTGCAAACCTTAAAGAACAAAATATTTAATTAAAAATTATGCTTCCATGGATGTTTATATTAATTTATTACAGATATACAAAATAAAGAAGGTCCTAAAAGAGAATTGGATTGGCTTTGAAATCTCTTTAAATTATAATTTGGCTGATTAAATGTTCTTCTCGCAAGTAAAGAATTAGCAGGCACAGATAATTTCCGTAACTGAACAGTTGACTTGATACTAATAAAAAAAAACAGTGCTAAATTAGGTAAAAAATAAAAGTTAACTTGGGGTACATCAATAAAAACAAAAATATAATGTCAATAGTTAAAGTACTGATATTACTATTCAAGTTCTCAAGTAGTTTTACCTGGAAAATTTACTAAGAAGGCAACTCATTTTAAAAAAAAAAAAAACAAAACTGAAATAATGCAATAGAAAAGGTTAAAACAATTTAGGAATTAAAGCCAGACTTGACAATAAATTTATTAAATTTGTATTTACATTTTACATGATTATGGTTTTTATAATTTTTGATATTTATTATTTATGGATATTTCATATATTTAATAAGTAACTAATGCACCAAGTTGTAGAATTCTGTCAATTCTGATAAGTATATAGATAATAATATAATATACTAACCACTCGTCAGAGTGGTCACTTCACGGTATGAGATTGGGGTACTTGTCCCGAAATTTCATGGATGAAAAAAAAATATAGGTCTATACGACAAACTTGTGTCAAACTCTCAAACTGTTCTATGGCCAAAGCCAAAGGTCAAACGGACATTATTATAAATTAGACATTTAGATCCCATACTAACTAAAAGCTCTCTCGCATCAGTAAATATACCCAGTTATTGGCGGTAATTTAAAAAACTTTTAAAAATATAACCTACGCATGCACCTATAATATTTTTAATTTATTCAGCTATGATATAGCATTTTAAAATTGAAAATATTTATAAAAATATGAAGTCTAAATCTAAAAGGTTAGATAATCGATGCTTGTGAAATTTATAATTTTATTAATTGTAAAAAAAGTGTTAAATTGTAAGGATAGATAATCAGATAAAAAAAATCCCCTGAAAAGGCCCAAAGCTTTAGTTAGATACAGCTATCAAAAATAATAATGAATAATAAAATATATAAAATTTAAATGATTTTAGGTATTTTGATCAGACTTTAATTCTGCATAAAATAAAAACATATGCTTGTGATGCTGCAATGTTCTCTTAAAATTTACAATTATCTATAGGTAATAGTAAACTTAGGAAACTTATTGCAGGGGATTTTTGTTCAACCGGTATTTTTTCCTAGATTCATTGTAAGACAATAAAACAATTATATATTGATTGGTTTTGATCCACTAAACAGTTTTTAATGGTATTCAATTTTATTTTAGCATAACATGTAATATTAATTTGAGATGAGCAGTACTTGCAGAGATACGATTGTACCTATCTTGTATCAAGATACATAATTTTAATGTTTCATCATGTATCGTGTATTTAAAATTTTTATTAAATTAGGTATATCTAGTATCTATTTGAGATTAACATACTATTAGATACATTCAAAAATTATGTTTCATTTAGTATAACAGTTTTCCTGATTTCCCATATTATTGTTGTTTAGCAATATAGCCAATTGGTATAATAACATGTTTTAAGATTAGCATAAAGTAGGTACTTAACTACATGTTGCCTGTCGATATAATAGCTAGGTATAGGTCTTATCAATGATAAGACTTGTATTACATTTTCAAGCAATTTAATTTTAAAAAACTAATAATGATCGAAAATTGCATATACCTATAATAGTTAAACCTAAGTCAAAATTTTTTGAAAATTGTATGGTGGGTAGAATATACTTATATAAAAATTCTGTGAAAATTTGATGTATCTATGATCATTTATTTTAAAGTTACATAAAAAAAAACCAAAATAGATTTTGTAGAAAACTGAATGTGCGTAAAAATCCCTGTTTTTTTCTTAATTTTTACTTAGAAAAATATTGAGAATAATGAGAATTTTTTGATCCCCAAAGTACCAACTTGATTCACTTTCTGATCGAACGAGGTACTGAAAAGTCGAAAATCAAAGTTCTTTTACTACCCCAAAATGGCAAAACGTGATGACAGACCCCAAAAAAAAAACACGTATCATATCATGGTAAAATATCATATATAATAAATTTATTAAAAAAAAAAACATGGTAGGTACATAGAATTATTATTGCTGTGACTTAATATTTTTGGCAATAGCTTTTGAAAAATCTTGGAGACAGTTTAACTTAAAGTATTCCAAGTTTTCTAAATTTTTTTTTCCGTTCATCGAAATAAAATAACACTAATATAAATTTATTAAGTGATGACTTACCTACGAGATGAAACAAGAGGTTATTGGTTTGAAGACTGATCGCGCGTCGACTCGTTTCGGCTATACTGACTCCAATGTGGCAATGTATATACCTGCACTTTTGTTTAAAATGTATGGCCGAATTGGACGTATTGCCACAACATTTATATAATAACTTGTGAACAAATTTAACATCTGGCAATAAATTTGTCCAATTTTTTTAAAATGCATCCAGCATTAATTAATAATTGCTGACGCAGCTAAGGGTGAATATGCAATTGCAGTCACCATTACTCTTACTCGCAGCCAGCCGTTGACGATCGGAATCGGGCACCGGAACTTGGAGAATGGATCCGATAATTATGTCGTATTACTTTCCTAAATTATTCATAGTGGATATTATCATATTCAGTGCTCAGTTCCAAACCAGACTGTCGCGGACATAAAATATTAAAATATATTGTCTATAAGTTCAAACTTCAAAATAAGAAACGACTGTGGCGGCGACGGTTAGGTCACGCCCATTGGCCAATGTCCGCACGTATTGTAGTGAAGTCACGCCCATGCGCAGTAGCTGGCCGCCGCAGTCGTATTTAGAACCGAGAACGGAATGTTTAAAAATAGATTTATCGGTGAATAAGTTGATCGTTCCGAATGTTTTGATAAGAAGCCTATCGATTTGTGGAAAAAAGAATGTGTGGATACCATGAGTCCATGACCCAATTACAAGTACTTTTCTACCGATATTTAGTAATATATCGATACCTATTAAAAGTACTTATATCAAAAGATCGTAACAGCCAACAGGTTCTACACTATTGTACTATTGATTGAATACTAATTTACTGTGTAGTATCTGAACTTCTGAACGTTTCCCTAAAATTACCATATACAATAAACTCCACGAGCCACGACCAGACCTAATTCTAATCTGTCGCACAGTTTTTTTAACATTTTTAATTTTTTTCAGTCTTATTTATTGTGATTCAAAGTACTCGGATAACTACGGTTTTTGTTTTTCCAACAGTTCAACATCTATATTTATAATATTTTATACTTTCATCTAAATAATAAACATATTATTACTTTTAAAATGTCTCAATTTACTTTTGTAAACGATCTTAAAAGTGCCGTTCGAATGGATGAGCCAATTACCAGTGGTCCAGCTCCTCGTTGGATGAAGAAAAKCGTGGAATCATCCTTGAGGTATCTATATTTTTTTTGTATTATTGCACGTGTGTAAACTTCAAAAATTGTTTTCGGTATGTCTATATTTCTGCCGTGTTCACTATGATAGTTCTGCAAATACGTCAAGAAAAACTGTTGAGTTGGTGCCTATCAAGAAGACTCCTTCTAAAACCCCCAGCAATTCAAAATCACCAGGTTAGTAAGGTTACTAAATTTATCTTCGCATCTATGTCACTGGTTATCAAAATTAATTTATGCACAACTGCCCAAGCTATATAGATAACAACAAAAACTATAATATTTGATTTAGATTAATATTAATTAATTATAACATCAATTGATAGGTATTAAAATCATCATCCGTTATTAAAAATAATTTAAAAAATTGTTAAAATTATCCATTAAAAATGAGTAAAAGCCATTTAAATAGATTTTTTAAAAGGAATAAATTGAAACCTCGAAAATTAAATGTCAACTCTCCAGAATCATCTGCAGTTAATAATAGTTATAAAAATATACCTACTGTCATACAAGGTAAGGAACAATATCCATAAAATAAAGGACATAATATTAACCTTATAATATCCAGGTATGACCTATCAATAATTTCCCTATTTTTGGATTTATACTTACCCTTAAAAACATTTGTCTATTATGGGCATGCGCAAGTTTCTAATTTATCATCAGTCGTGATTAATATCACCGTTAATATTAATAGTAATAACATACAATTATTATTATTTTATTATGTATACTATATGCACTGCCAAAAATAGTCATGTTCAGAATTCGGAAACTGCCGAGGGTATATACTGTTGTTTAGTGCAGAGCATAGGTGCAAATAGGGAGCTTAGGGGGTTTTAACACCCTCAAATAATGTTCATGTTTATATATCAAAAACTTCTTGCAAAAAAAGAATAAAATGATAAAATGCATATTTTAAGCATTAAGTAGCCTTAGTTTTTTTTTTTTTTATTATTGAAATTGTGCCTATGGTGCTGAGGTTTTCAACTGGAGTATCGCAAACTTTATTTAAAGTTCCGTTAAATAAAAAAAATATAAAAATTATATAGTTAATGTTTTATGTAATAATTTGTTTTATAAAATATAATACGTATGCCTACTTCTAACTACTTTCGTTTATACTTATGGCACTTTTGCTATGCTAAATAAAAACCTAGCTGGGTGCCTATAGGGTGCCTCCATATTTTTAGAAAATGACTAAGGGTGCTGTAAGTCAAAAAAGGTTGGGAACCTCTGGTTTAGTGTATTGTGTATACTGTAAACTAGTGAGGTTCTATGGGGGAGGGGTTAATTTTTAAATTTACTTCATATTGGATGACTTGACAAAACCTAAACATAACAAACCATATCATAAATTTTATAAACTAAAAATTTTTATTTGTGTTATTATTTTTGATTGATATGTTATTTTTCTCATACTAAAAATTTTGGGAAGGCAGATTAACCTCCTCCTTTTTATTTAGCATGCCAATACTGTATATACTAAATTTAATAGCAGTTGGCGCTAGTGTGACAATGTTAACAGTAAATATATCCCAAAATATATATTTTTAATTCAAAACAAGAACATTTCGAGTAAAGTAAGTCAATTTTTTAAGGTGTATCTTTCTAAATACTTTTGATTGATTTATTTTCTAATTTACCACTGGACTAATAAGTATATTATATAATTTGAATGAAATAGATTGATAGATTACACAAATTTAAATGTAAGCCCTGAATATTGATGCACATGTTAATAAAATTGTGTTAGTTCTATAATTATTTTAATAATCAAAATATACTTAAGATGCTAAGACCAATTGAGTTTATTCATAGTATAAATAAATGTTGAAATTTTTTCAATTAACAAGATATTATTATTTACTTAAGTATACTTGAATTTTGTACTTATATGAAAAAGAAAACAAATATAGTCATATTTATAAATATTCATTTTTAAATATTTTACCTTGATAATGTATAATCAGTGATATTCAGTTTAACTATTTATTCAATTAGCTTCAAGATCAGCATCAAACACACCAGCTAAGCCTAAAACACCTGGTGGTGACAGATTCATTCCTTCCAGAATGTCTACAAATTTTGAGATGAGTCATTTTAAGGTAATTCACAAATATTTAAATGTATTTAAAATATTTATCTCAACAAATTACTTATATATATTTTTTTTTAAATAGATGAACCAAGAAAACGAAAACCTTGACTTAAGCCCAACTCAATCAGACTACAGAAAAGCTATGTCCGAGAATCTCCATGGATGTGACATTAATAATGTTCGTGTTCTTTCCTATCAGAACAAAGCACCGGCTCCTCCAGAAGTATAATAATTAATAACTAATTATAAGCATAATCTACATTATAATTAATAATGATTTTAGGGTTATCAAAATGCCTTAAAAGTAGTTTACAGCCAATCAAAGACTCCCATGAATGTACGTGGAGCTACTCGTTATATACCACACGCACCAGACCGTATTTTGGATGCTCCTGAAATTGTTGATGACTATTGTATGGTATTCCATTAACTATATCCATGTGACTATTAATAACAGTTTTCATTTTTAACAGACCTAAATTTAATTGACTGGAGCTTTTCCAACTTATTGGCTGTCGCCTTGGGCACAAGTGTATATCTTTGGAATGCTGACACTGGAGCTATTGACCAACTGTTAGATTTAGAAGGTGCAGACTATGTCACTTCTCTTAGTTGGGTACCTAATGGAAACTTACTAGGTGTTGGAACTGCTTTAGGACCTGTTCAAGTAAGTAGAATGCTTGCTGTTGAACATAGTAAAATATTATCATTTATCCACTTAGTTATGGGATGCATCACAAACAAAGCGGTTGCGTATTATGAACAGTCACAGTTCAAGAGTGGGCGCTATGTCATGGAACAGTCATATATTAACTACTGGTTGCAGAAATGGACAACTTGTCCACAACGACGTCAGACAGAGAGAACACATTGTTGGTACAATTCAATCCCACACTCAAGAAGTATGCACCAATCCTTGTTGAATTTGTATTTTGATCTTAATGTCATGTAACATATTAATCTAAATTGTTTGGTCTGATGTAGGTTTGTGGTCTTAAATGGTCAACTGATGGTCGTTATCTAGCCAGTGGAGGCAATGATAACTTACTGAATGTGTACAGTGGCTTACCAGACCAAGCTACATACCAATCTGAACCAATATACAGTTTCAGGTAATGTTGATTTACCCAAAAATATCAGTGTGTAGCAGTGTATAATTTTCCTTATGTTCACTTCAGCCAACATCAAGCTGCCGTTAAAGCATTGGACTGGTGTCCATGGCAAACCAATGTACTAGCCAGTGGAGGTGGTACAGCTGACCGAACCATCAGGTTTTGGAATTGCAACAATGGCCAGTGTATTAATTCAGTCAATGCCAACTCACAGGTGTGCGCAATTCTGTGGTCCAAAACTTACAGAGAATTGGTATCAGCGCACGGTTTTGCAAATAACCAGCTCACAATTTGGAAGTATCCTTCACTGACAAAGGTTAGTTAATTGATAAAAAAATATGTATGCATTAAGTACTATTGGATATTTAATATTTTTTTTTATTTTATCTTAAAGGTTGCTGAGCTCACTGGGCACACAAATCGTATTCTGAATTTGGCCATGTCACCAGATGGATCAACAGTGCTGTCAGCTGGTGCAGATGAGACTTTGCGAATGTGGAAGTGTTTTTTGCCAGATCCAAACAAGAAGAAAGAACATGAGAAACGCACTTCTAGGCCCACTATGCTGAGACCAGGACTTAGATAAATATTTTGAATTTGTTAATTTATTTTCTTTGTCAATTAAACTTATATACAATATTTTTGTAAACTTTTTACTTGTGTATTTTTAGCTTTTTAATTTTATTTTGACATGACTCAGTCATACTTTAATTCGCATGTTGTACATAGTTAAACAAATTTTTTTATAATTATTATCTCTATTGTATTATTTATTAGGTCAATGTATTTTTTCGAACACGTAATTTTGTGTTATGTTAACCAAATGTATTCAGAATTAATACTTAAAATGACTACAAAAATGAATATACTTATACATTCTAAGTTACTTTAATTACTTATGTTATAATAATAAATATTAAACAAGTCTTTGACTACTTTATGATTACGTGTATAGTAATATATTATAACTGCATAGTTTTACTATGTTTGTGGACTTATTAATCAACATAAAGAAATAATAAATAAAAAAGAAATAAAAGTTGAGTTACAAACAAAAAAAACATTTAATAATAAATAATAAATAGAAAAAATTTGGTTGTTTGTCTGAAATGGATAGGTAACAATCAATTTTTTAAATAAAATGTGACATTAGGTAAAATTTTAATAATTAATAGTTGTTTAAGTTTTTTTTTTGTATAATACTTGTTATTATTTTAAACAATAATTTAGGAGAATAATGTCTGTTTTTTACTTATTAAAATAATAGGAAATCTATCATCTAAAGTTATCTTTTTCTAGCTTCATAATGTTGTATTTAACTTGAGTGTTGTCCTAATTTAAGTGACTTGAATAAGTTTTCTTCGCATGATTTATTAGGACATATTATTCTAATCTGTTTTTAATTTATAAGACTGTTGTGAAATTTTTTATGTATTGAGATGAGCACATTTCATTTAAAAATTTTAATTCACAAATATGGCATTGAGAATTTTTTGGTTTATGTTTAAATGTTCAAATTGATTACATTAACTATACATTTTTTTTCCAACGTAAATGTTGCGATGCAATTTGAACATTTAATAGCCGTTTTCATCATTTTTATTTAAACATAATATGAAATATTATTGAAATTCAATGGCTAAAGGCTAATAAATTCAGTCATATGACAATTTTATCCGCCAGAAACTATATGATAACGTCATTTTGTGATAAGCCAGCTGAACACCTGAACACCCTGAACCACGGTTTAAGATATACTATATAATATATCTTAAACCGTGCCCTGAACCATAGAGTAATTACTCTATGCCCTGAACACAGGCGTAGTACACTTCTTCCAAAATCTAATGTTACTGATAATAATATATTGGCATCACTGTAGAACTCGACCATTCGGACATTCGGTGTTTCAGTATCAGTATTCAGTAATTCGGTTCATTCAAATATTTAATTATACAAATATAAGATATAACTTAACTTACCCGTTAGTAACCTACTACTGAGGTTGGTTAATTGTTTGATATTTTAAATTTAAATTATCGTTGTAGATTTCCTAATTCACTGATCTATGTTTCTAGACAATGTTGGGTGGAGGATTATTTTCCAATAAGTCGGTGGCTGCGCCCACAAACCCCAACAAGGATTTTGAAGTCACACAGCCTCCTGATGACACCGTTTCAGCAATGGCGTTCAGTCCTGCTACATTACAACAAAATTTTCTCATTGCGGGTAGTTGGGATAACAGCGTAAGATGAGCAAACACGCACCTTCAGTGATGTAGTGAGTTGAGATTTTTCCTTTTTTTGTTTCATCTTAGGTACGTTGTTGGGAAGTCGAACAGAGTGGTAAAACAGTACCAAAATCCATGCAGTCAATGACTATGCCAATTTTAGACGTCTGCTGGAGTGATGACGGCACAAAAGTTTTCATGGCGTCTTGTGACAAACAAGTAAAATGCTGGGATTTAGGTAGTAATCAAACGGTGCAAGTGGCAGCTCACGATGCACCCATAAAGACTTGTCATTGGGTCAAAGCGCCATCTTACACATGTATCATGACTGGCTCATGGGATAAAACATTAAAGGTGTGTTAAATGTTTTTTTTTGCATAATGTACCCATTTTTCTTAGGTTGTATTTGATAATTGCCTATATCAATTATTTTCTAGTAATTTTAAGCTATTTATAACAATTAATATATATGATAAATATTAACCCTAAAGCACACGCTTTACAGTCTAAAAGACCGGGCTCAGTACTTTTTGACATTTGTTCATTTCATTGTTTCAAGAATACAAAATATTTACATAATCAAACCTAACTATCTGTTAATAAAGTGATAAACTAAAAATATATACAACTACCAACTGTACATAATCTGATGTTTGTATTGGTCAAAGGTCATAAATTATTAAAAATACCATTTAAAAGACCCTGACATTTGTAAATTATTTTATTTTATTAAAAATTATTAAAATTATTTTTGAATTTTGTTTCTTAATTTGCTTGCCGATAGAAAAATATTTATCAATTTGAGTTTTAATTGAAATATATTTCAATTCACAGTAAAAAAAACATTGTGTGCTATCCCAAGAATATTTTTGTTGCCTACAATGTAGGATTAAATAAAAATTACATTTATCAGCAACATTAATTCTAAATAGGGATGCTTTCAGTAGTTACTAAACTACTGTTCTATAAATATTTTAACTTAAAATACTTATCAAGTATAAATATATGTACCTACTTCAGGTATTATATTGTATTTATTTTATTTTCAATAGTTTTGGGATGTTAGAAGTTCAGTTCCCATGATGACCATTAATTTACCTGAGAGAGCTTATTGTGCTGATGTGGTAAGTTAATAATATTACATTGAACTAAAATATAAAATATAAATTATTAGTTAACTACTTCAGAAAATAATTATTATACTTCATAATATTAATAATTAATTTTGTCGTCTTGTATTTGCCATTTTTTTTTTAACCATAATTATGCCAATAATATCAGGAGTTAATTGTTTAGGATTATCCTATGGCAGTTGTTGGAACAGCATCAAGGGGCATAGTTGTCTATAAATTAGAAGGAAAACCTGAAATGGTAAAATCTGTGGATTCTCCTCTAAAATATCAACATCGTTGCGTTGCAATATTTAGAGATAAAAAAAAACAATCTCCTACTGGTTAGTAATGTAATGAAAAATAGATGAATATTATCATAGAAGTATTTAAATGTATGGGTTTTTATTTTAGGTTTTGGTTTGGGAAGTGTTGAAGGACGTGTAGCTATACATTACATACAACCTCAGAGTTCAAAAGACAACTTCACATTCAAATGCCATCGTCAAAATAACTCTGGAACAATGAATGTCCAAGATATTTATGCTGTATGTTTTTTCAAACTTAGAATATTTCTTATTTCAATGTTACTTACTTTATATTTTAACAGGTGAATGATATTAAGTTTCATCCAATCCATGGTACTTTAGCAACTGTAGGTTCTGATGCAACATTTGCATATTGGGATAAAGACGCACGTACAAAATTGAAGTCATCTGAGACACTCGACCAACCAATCACAAAATGTTGTTTTAATAGTAATGGTCAAATATTTGCTTACAGTACTGGATATGACTGGTCAAAGGTTTGTATATTAATTACTTAGGTCTTAGATTTCTATATTATTATATTATAAGGGGATTGTTGGTGGACAGTTTTTCAGCTAAACATGCCAATCTTTTGTCTAACATACTGATCAACCTAGTTTTGTGATATTTATTTTTTAAACTGAATATTGAGTTTGCTATTCTTATTATGTTTACTTGATATAAGTTAGTCCACTTTTCCCAATTTTATCCCTTAACAGCTGTAAATTTAGTTTTGAATGTTTGAAAATTTTAATTATTCAAAACTCAAATCAATAATCTTAAGATGTAGAGTGACCGATCTCAATTAGACATTATAACAAATTCAGATCAGTTTTCTGATATATTATCATATTAGGTCATTCAGTAAAATGGACAAAAGTCTATACAAATTTGTTTAATTTCAAATTTGTTTAATTTCAAATTTGTTTACTGTTTATGTGTACCACCCCAAGCCCCAAGGTGGTGACTTGTACATATGTTTGGAAGCTCTTCATTATTTCTTTTACACTTATTATACTCTAATGAATAATGATCACTTACTATGCACACATTTACAAGACCAGCATGCATGCACTATTTAGAACAGGGGTCGGCAAGTAATTTCTATTGGAGTCCTAAAGATTAAAATAATAAATCAATGAGGTCCAGTGAAAAAAATCTTTTTCAAATCTTTATATATTAAAAATAGCAGTATAAAAATAAAAATAATTATTCAGTTATTACAATTAATTTATATTAAAAATTACAATATTAAAAGAGTAATATAAAACGAAACACGCACTGTATCCACCGGCGAATGTACACGTASTAAAACTAAATAGTTAACGATAAGCAATAAATATAATTTTACGCCGTCGGTTCTTCGGAGTTCTTAGAAAATCGAAATATTTGGTATTGTTGCGACTCGGCCGTCGGCCGATAACATTGTAATAAAACCGATTATTAACTGCCCGATAAAATATTTTTCAATGAATTATGATATAACTATAATCTGAGTTTGATAAATTAAATTAAATAAATGTCTGTATTAATAATAATACAGAATACTATTACAAAAAATAACATAATGAAGTACAATGCGTTGACAGGGTCCATAGTTTTGCCTTCCGCGGTCCGCCAATTGCCGATCCCTGATTTAGAAACTGTCCGCCACCAATGACCTTAATATTTATTGGCAACTATAACACATTTTGAGAAATCAAAGAGATATAACATACAATCATGGCATTTTAAAGTTTTTGTTTTTGAAACCTTAAATTTCTCTGCAAGTAAATATATTAACTTATGTTTGACAAAATATGATAAATTAACTAATTGTATTGTAAGTCAATTTACTATATCAACATTATTAAAATATCTTCATTTGAATTAATACAGTATTTGATAGTTTTAAATTAACATGTAAAAACAAGTTTCATTGATTTTTGTACATTTAATTGTTTTCGTATTATGTTGAGTTTAATTATTCTAACTAATGTTAATATTGAATAACAAATATGGATTTAGTAGTATAAAGAAAAAACTTGAAATTATGTTATTTATTTTACATTTGAAGTTAGTACAATTAATTTATATTTTGATAATAATTGGTATAGCATTTAAATTCATAATTAAAGTTTAAAAACAAATTATATTAAATTAGTTTTATTGAACAATAGTAATAAAAAAATTGATTGTCTCAGACTTAATTTACTGTTTATGATAAACTGTTTGTTTAATTTTCAGGGTCACGAGTATAATAATCCAGCTAAAAAGCCACAGATTTTCTTAAAACCATGTTTCGAGGATTTAAAACCAAAAAGTGGTACATAGATAATTAAATGACTTTAACCATTTGTTTTTTTAAATGTATTCAACATTGTATTTAAGAGAGTATTGCTTTCTACCAATATTGTAAAATTAAATATTGTGTATAATTATAATTCAACTCTTAATAGTATGTTAAATTTATTAATTACTGTACTGATTTTTTTTACTTGCTTCTAGTAACTTGTCACACAATAAATATATTTTTCAAAGGATATTAATAGTGTACGATGAATGATGATAGACAAGTGTAGTGTATACCATGTTAAGTTTGATATTAAAAATGTGTTTAAAATTTAAATGACATCCATGCAAATACTAGACATAAATATATTACAGAGTACTGACAATATTTTAATTTTTATAGTTTGTTGCTTAGTAAATACAGTTATGTCTGGACTTACAAATATTTTAACTGTAAATGTTTTTAATAAAAATTTGTTGTGGCGTGTACACGCTCTGAGTGTACTTACTGGCCGGTGTTGTTAGTTCCGGAATAGGTGAACACGCGGGTTTTTAGCAACAAATCTTTGACACACATACAAGATGTGTTCCAACACCCTCCCCCCACCTTACATTCACACACAGTACCAGGCGTCTTGATTTTAATAAAAAAAAATTGTGAAAGGTTAAATATATTTATGTATTTAATTTACAGGGTACTTGAGGAGAAGTCCTACCATTATAGGTACTCAATTTTACCGTAAAAAATAGGTATAAATGATTAAAAAACAAAAATAATCAACTGTCATATTTTAGTCAAATAAATTTCGTTAGTAATTTTTACACGTAAAAATAAAAATATATGACAACTTCGCGTGGTCATTTCATAACATTTTTAGTATGCCGGTGTAGTTTTTCAAACTTAAAAAGTGTACAACCCGAAAATATGACCTATTTGATTTGCCATCTGTGTTCAATGATATACGTATCCAATAGAGGAAGGGAACACGAACGCATAGAACTTTCGGAACACTTTCTACACCGAAAAGTGATTACTATGGAAACTTAAAAAAAAAACAAACGCATCATTATAAAACCAATATAGTGTTGTATTTCGAATATCGGCATCTTTTTAGAGCTTGGTGATAATCCCCGAAAAAAACGGCATTTTTTTCCAACTATATTTGCTGGTCTCCGGGACCGTTTGACGGACAGACAGTTATCCTAAAAGTAGAGGCCGATTTCTTTTTTCCTCGAGTATTGAATTCGATTCGGACCGTAATATATGTCATATTATATTTTCGATAAGACATGTTTCTGTTCACCACCGCGCGTTACCTACTCAATTATTTTTACGGAATATTATCGAAAATCAAAACAACGATATTTCATTTTAGTTTATTTGTGATATAAGTATTAAATATAATAAACAGGTGGGTGGATATAATCTACAGTGTACCTATAATATAGATATGTTTAGGCCACGTGAGCTTTATAATACTAAAGCTAGGATTTTGTAGTGAATGGAATACAATTGACCTAAGTATACCTACCACTTATCAGTTGAAAAAATTTACAATTCTGTAATAAAATGTAGGTATTTATCTTTAAAAGAATAACAATAAACAATATTATATTGTTAAGCGATGCCTTTGGTGTTACTTATTGCGGTGTCGTGTGCAGGTCCAAATGTCTCGAGAATCTCATGATTGAGCGATTGAAGCCTGAAGTGTTGACAAAGTTTTTTTTGAAAAATCATTTTTTATTCTACGGGTGGTGTCGTTATTCAATTCACAGTGTAGCTAAGTGTTAAAAACTTGTCATTCCATGGGTTAAGTATTAATTTTTTTATGTATATAATAATATTATTATAAGTAATAGTCAGTCAATTCATGATAATTGTCGATGATATTATAATGCACATTCGATAACAATGATATTATTGTACATAACACGGGTAAAGGCGTTAAAAGCTTTGAAATAGTTTGGACACCTTTTTCCACACAATCCGCCATTATACTATAAATAATAATAAATAATAAATAATGATTATAGTATTGTTATTGGGAATAAAATAATTGTTATAATAATATTTCAACTTACAGTAGACAAATTATTATAATGTGGCGTWATGAATAGGCAATTTGGGTACACACAAGTTGTGGTAGAGCTTATCAATAGTCTGTCTAAGCGGCAAGGGAAACATACGAGTACATACCACGCACGAAAGTATAGCGTTCTCCGAATTCAAGAATAATATGAAATATTATTTTATATTTATAATCTTACACAGGTTCTTATAATATGTGTCGTATAAATACTAAATTGTAAACTGTCGAATTGCATTGAATACACTACTTCGGGATTTAAATATCCAACAGGGTTTAAAATATAAGTATATTAATATCTACAACTTTATATAAATGTACACAATGAATTTAAATTCCACCCTAACATAGTATCTAGTTTAAAATTTCTAACCAGAAGACTGGAGAGTGTTCATAGGAAAATAAGGTGTTATAACGCTCCTCTTTTAACGTTTTACTATCATAAAAAATGTACGATAAAGCAATAAAAGTGTATAATTACCGTCATAAAACATATCCCTTTAAAAAATTTGAACATGCCACTGCTCTAAAAAATAACTATCAGATGAACCAGTTCGAGAAGTTCGACATTTAAAGATGCGTTGGTGTCGTGATCTGTTAAATAAATAACTGATCTAAATCAACCTAAGTGATAAATAATAATTAATAACTTATGTTAGGTCATTTGAAGGTATACTAAGGTTCTATCATTGGGTGGATATTTTTGTTATAATTTCCCATCAATTATCTGTACTCTAAGTCTCTAATTATATAAATTATAATACAATACATAAAACATCTTTATAATTTAGCTTAAATATATTATATTATGTACAAAAGGGCCTCTTCCGTTAAATAAATAAAATATATTCCTAATCCTTATTAGTAAAATATTTTCGGGTCTGGTCAAATAACAATACCACTGTCTAGTTTTTGCGTGTGATGTCAGTGTTTCAAACGGTTATTAAAATTTAACGAAATTAAACAATGTTTAAATATTTATCTATACAACATTATCAGATTACTCACATTAACATATATTTTGGCATGGAACTTGAATAAAAAAAATTCGAATTAAAAAAAATTATATTATTAAAATTACTACCTTGACGAGGCGTATCAACTGCTATATTCTAATATAATTTACGACTATTTACATTAGTTAGTCATAAAAGTTTTTAATTTTGTTAAAACAAAAAAAATCTAATCGACTATTATATCTTATTTCATTGATACATAGATGTATTCTAAATGTTAGAGGAAACAATTACGTAAAAAATGTATCGTTGTCATATATACACAAAATGTAAACAAATATCAGCCTAACCTGTGATCGCAGTACAATATTTTGTCTCAGCAGTCGTTTAATTTTGCATGTCAATCGACGGAATTACACTGTCGTACTTGGCGACCAAAACCGAGGATTAAGTTCTTCGTGCGAGTTTTTCTGTAAAGGATCGAGTGTGTTCATTTGATTACGATGTTTTTATGCACCGATGATATTGAAACACAATCATTTTTTTCGGGAACGGAATCAATGCTCAACGATAAAAAAAAAAAGAGAAAAAAGGTGATTAATATTTTTTATTTTAAATTCACTGGAAAAACATTGATATTATAATATACACATCACTTTTTAAATAATATACGTTTTACAACATACATTTACGTATATATTTTATATTAATAAACGAATATAAATTAACTAAAATAATATTGCTGCGTATTCCAATAAGCAATAATTAACATACACAATTAAAAAATATCGCTTTATCATACTATTTTGTTCTACAGTGACTGACCGGTCAAGCGATCCTTGCTGAAGAATTAACTTTTTTTAGGTTTTTTTTTTGGAGGGGATGGGTGATAAGAAATTTAATTCAATTAATCTTTTATTAGTTTCTTCATTATTATTTTTATCATACATTTGAATACTATAATAATGTGTTATTCAGTTTTTGGTATAGGAAAAAAAATACTATATAAACAATATGTTTTTATCAACCAATTATACTATTCTGAATGGTAGAGGTATTGGTAAGAGGTACACAGCACAGTTTAAATTAATGAATAATTTATAAATTAACATAATATAATAATATAGGTAACTCATATTGTACAATAAATATTACAAAATATTTGGTGTTAGCTAGGCATGTTAACAAATTAAATAGTTTCACCCAATATTTTTTCAATTCCACTATAGGAATGGCCTTGAACTATTATTATTTCTCTCATAACATAATTATTATAGTTTCACAATACAATGTAGTAAAAATTTACAAAAATTTATTCCGGTACCGGGAATCGAACCCGAGCCTCCTGGGTGAAAGCCAGGTATCCTAGCCACTAGACCATACCGGAGAGATATCATGATTAATCCACAAAGGTCAAATACATTTGAGTATTCGTTTTTTATTGTTGTGCATCCTTAAAAAATTCGACCAACTCAATGTTACGATTAAAACGACAAGGGGAACCCTAACTACTATACATTAGGTATCTGATATAAAGGAGGATTTTTTAACGTGAGATATTATACTTCAGAGTTAAAATTGAAAATTGTGAGTACATATTAAGATATTTGTGGTAAACAAAAAAATTGTGTTAAAATTGTAATATTATTATTTAAATAATTGTTTGGTAACCAAAAAGTTGGACAGTTTTCGATTTATTTTAGTTTTTGTTCAATAAATGTGTACAAATATTTGTTTGGCAAAAAGCTTAAAAATATGGTACCATGTTCCTCATCATAGCATTGATTATATATATCGATATATATAATATAATATTATAGGTACATATATTTAATCAATGCTCAAAGCTTGTAATTATATAATAGCTGTTTAAAAATATTAAAGATATATAGGCATGATTTTGTTATAAGCATTTAAATTTCAAATTTTTACAAAATTCTTAAGAAATATAAATGTTTGCTATTATACCGCATATACTGGGCCTTATCCATTAAAATAGTATACACAAAAAATATATGAATATGTTACACAATTATTTTTCGTAATTCATTTTCGATTTTTTTTTTTTTTGACACATAGTAATTATGACATATTTTAGTTAAACATACAGACTTTCTATCCTAGGC